TCATAGTGTGCATTTTTACGAATTCAGACAAGTTACTGAGAACAGTGACTACTTCTTCCCTAACTTGTGGATAAATGGTGTTTTCCTTGAATGTTGTTCTTTTGTCCCCATGAGTGTATTCTGTCACTAGTGTAAAGCCTCTCTGCTCCATCTTTTTTGATTCTTTTCCTGTTGAGCTTTTGTTGTTTTGACTGAATCAACAGAGTGATGTTCTGTTCTCATTCATGTTTTTTTCTGCAACATTAGGTGTTTGATAATTATTTTTTTTGTTTCCTACTTTTTCTTCATATCACAGTGACTACCCCATCGCATTTGGTCTGATTTCTTTCTTCTACTCTTTCTCTTGTCTTTCAGGCTCTTGTCTTCCTTGCCTAGTCTGCTCTTTGGGAGACTACTTCAGTGGCTTAGTTAGCACATCCTTGAAGACAAATCCCAAATGCTAGGTTTCAGCCTTTAGCTGTTGGTCTTATTTCATCAGCTTTCCGTTAATGCTTCCTTCTGTCCTAAAAGGCTTTTCCTTTTCCATTCAGGTCTTTTGCACCACGTCCTCTCACTTTCACCACTGACACTAACGCTGTCTTTTCCAGTGCCCTGAATTTTATTGCTCTAGTTCTTCTTATAGACAGTGTGTGTCTGACTTTGTCTCTTGCTGCCAGATCCACATTTTTAGCTTCAAGTCCAAAACCTATGTACATGCTTGCTATCTTTTGCCTTGATAACTGCCTTCTCCTGCCTCAGCCCCCTTCTCCCCTCTCAGCTCCATTCTCTGCGTTCAGTCTGGTCCAGATTGTCCTTGCAGCCCTTGTGGCCCATGGTTAGGGTGAAAAGGTGAAGCTTCATGGATCTCACTGATGATCTGCAGATTCATACAGGCTGAGCACCTGACCTGTCGCAGCACATCAGCTCACCCCTGTCTCTCAGGGTGTCCGTAGCTGAGAACGATGACAAATGGATGTCTGCTGGTTTTATCAGGGCATTGGAACTAGATGATCTTAAGGTCCTTTCCAACCCTAACTATTCGACGATTCTGTGATTAAGCATCAAATGCCGTTATTCAAAATGCACTAGCAACCTGCCCAATGTTAAACATCCCAAACCTGTAATACAGTTATGGTTACTGTTCTTTCTGCCAAATCCAGCATGCTGGTAATTTGTGGATCAGTGGTCTCATCTGTTTCTTAAACATTCTTACTGCTCACCATTCCTGATCTTCTCATATTTTATACAGACTTCCCCATTCAAATTCAATTATTAATGTCATAAATGGTAACAAACCAATAAAGCTCATGTATTTAAACTACATTGTCACATAATAGCTACCTTCTCTGGTATTGTATCATGGTCTGCAGCTGTTTACTTCTAAATCTCTTTAAGAAATATTTGCAAAAGTCTGTATTTGTGATTTCCTGCTCTCCTGGCTTTAGAACGGTCATAAAGTATTTCTTATACTAATGAGACAGACTGAACTCTGGTGTTCCTCCTGGAATCTGACTGTAGTTTTCACTGACACCTTCACCACTAATCACATATCTGTATTTCACAGAACATTAGTTAAACTAAATATTAAACATAAGTCCCAGAGATTGTATTGTGGCCACATTAAGAGTTTCTGGAGAGCATCCCATTAGGTTCTCAGTGCACTGCAGCCTTAAGATCTAATCAGCATCCCGGTTTGGATTACAAGGATCCAAAGAAATTGTTATCCTAATCTGTGTGTGATCTTATAATATTTGACTTTCCAAAGCCACAGTCAACGCCCTGTCAAGCATTCCTATAGCAAAAGTACATGTGCAGAGAAATAAGCCAAGTAATTGACCCAACCGGATGAGCAAAGCACTTCCTTTTGAACTGATACTTTGGACACTTAAGGCTGCTGTGTGACTGCGTGAGTGGAAAGTTCAAACTGAACCTTTATTTTTTGTTTGTTCTCACTAAAAGAACAAGAGAGAGGTTTGAATTGTTGCAGAGGTAGCAATTCACTTAGGGCTTTGCTTGTGCTGTAAAATGGATGCTCACAGTTTGGTGGTAGGTAAACAGCACTGGGGTCCGTGGTGCTCACTTCTTTGTTGTGTGGAGTAGATAACTTTCATAAACACACAAACTAATAGAGAAATACTTCACTTTGTGTTTGAAAAGAGTTTTTTCAACCTTTTGTGGTTAACTTTGTAAATAATGTCTTAGCTTAACTTAATGTCCTTTAAAGTGGTTATGCCAGTTTGAATTACTGCTGTTTTCAACATTTTTTATTTGTGGTTTTGTAATGTGTCATAAAACATATCTCCATAGTCTTAGAGCCTTTGCTGCTTTTTCTCAGATGGGGTATGGCAAAATACTTGGTTCCCTAAATACTTTGCATGCTTGAGACTGGAGCCAGCTTTTAGATAAGAGTGCTAGAACCTCATGTGAAGGGTGAGACGTGTTTTGTGCCTGTAATCTATTATTCTGGGATCACTGTATTCAGCGGCCTGATCCTGGTTGATTTGAGTGGGCCCACTATTTCACCCCGGAGCTCCAGGCCAAGGTTGCCATTTGCGAAGCTGTAAAACACAGCTCTAACTTTCATGAATAATTCTTTCTGAAGTGAATGCTGGCAGTGCCTGGGATAGGACTGCTCCCATAAGCAAAGGTTACTTACGCAGGACATGAAATCCTGTTTACACTAGATCCACTCTGCTGGTGTTGAGACTAAGAGTCATGCAGTCAGTGGGTCAAACTGCTCAAAGGACTGCCTGGAAAGATCTCCCATGAGAGGGATGCATACAGAGTGTTTCTGCTGCTCCTGGGCTCGGTTATTCCAGGTCTAAAGCAGCATCCTATGCCAGAAAATTTGCGGGGAGAGTTGGACTCAACCTTGTCCTCATCTTCCAATTTGGGAAACAGTTTGTAGTCATTTATTCCCATACCTGTGTGTTTAAATCTTGACTTGGGACATGAAAGGGGAGAGGGTTGTGCTCCCCTATACCTTTTAGTGAACAGGTCACTTGTGGTTTGCAGTATTGTGTCAGCAATATGATCACATATAGTATAGTAAAATGACTGATGCTTACAGAAATTTCCCTTCCAAATTTCTCAGGAAACCAGGAAATAGTACTATAACTTCTGCAGAAATACTGAGAATGATTGTAATAGTGTTCTGGAGCTTGGTGGTGGAGGAGTGATGTCACCAATAAATAAAATAAATGAACTGTGGCATCTTTTCAGCCTTTTAACTTGTGAAAGGAAAATGTGGATGGAAATGATTCAGCTCAGCCTGTGGGTAGGTGGCTTTGCATTTGGTGTGCAAGCCGTATTTAAGCCTTTTTCAATCCAAACCAAGTGATCTCGAGTTGCTTAAAGCAATTATTAATTAATTTTTTGTATTTAGGGATCTTATTGTGGCATTAGTGTGTTTTTTCTTTCTTTCCCTGTACAAAACCAAGTATATGAGTGTAAGGATACGTGGAGTCATCAAGCAACAGACATACGCTTTCCTGTGCTCTCTGCAGGGCTTGCAGGTTCAAACACAACCTGCCTGAATCATAAGAACTTTAATTGAGTAGATAAAGAGGTCCTCATAATTATAAACTGCAGTAGGTATAACAAGAGGCTAAATACATAGCTGTGGTTTTAATTAGCTGGTGCTTCAAATTAGTAATTGTGGTTTCACTCAGAAATCAGTGACTTTATACACTGTTAAAGCCTCATCACTGTGCAGTTCGTTCCTCATTATATCTCTCGGTGTGAAGCTTTCAATACAACATCATGCTGAGCTAAAAAGGCAAAAGTTGTAGATATTTGGTTATCTTCCAAGTGCAGTGGAGCTCTATGGAGATTTAATTCATTCTTGCCAGAGATGGGAGAATTAAGTGTTCTTTGTTACATATGTAATACGTATGTTTGTATGTTTGCATTTGTACGTGGAGGGTGTGCATGGATGTGTGCACATATGTCTGGAATCTGCTCATAAGGAATAATGTTAGTGCATATACTGAACCTGCTATTCAAATTGCTGTCTGGAATTTGGTAGCTAATTAGCTGACACAAAGCAGAGCCAAAAGCCTCATAACAAATCAAATCTGGGCTGAAAGCACAGAAGTGTCCCTTTATGCTTGTCGCATGAGAGGTTGTCAGTGCAAGTTGAAGCGTGCATCTTTCCTCTTTCCATTTTTCTCCCTCCTTTAGGTTTTTAATTATATCTTTTCCCTCAGAGGAGCAGGAGGTAGTTTGCAAAGCCAAGAGACCAAAGTACTTCAGTGCTATTCAGGGGAGAAGTGAATGTGGTCTCTCAGCTTGTCATTTAGGTCTGGCAGGTGCACAAAGTAAGCTGACGTACAGATAAGTGCCACTTGCCATTGCTGTGCTGAGGTGCTAGATCCTTTTCTGTTTGTTTGTTTGGAGAACTATCTGATACTGGAATCAACCTCCCTGAAGCCTCTTCCGGGAGCCTGCTACAAAAACACATTTTAAAACCCCCTTGACATTCACAATGCAACCGCACATAAATTTTAACAAGTACAGGGGACAGAATTAGGTGGTCTAAATAACACGAGGCTGAACTGAAGCAGTGGGATGGATAGAGACATGGTGTGACACCATTAAATGGATTTGAATGTGTTGTGGTGCTTTCCTAACTTTGCATTTGCTATCTCTGCAAAGACACATTCATCGTGGGCATAGGTCTGTGTTTGTGTGCATGTGGTGCATGTATTCTACAGACAGCTCATACAAATACATAAAAATGTATTTTACTCTTCTGTATAGTGCTCTCTTAATTTGAAAAGAACATTTTTGTCCCTTTTCACTTCAGCAGTGTACTGACTGTCCTACTGCCCAATTTCACATATTATTATGATTGCAAATTTACATTTGGGTAAATTATTCAGTGGCTGTTTCTTTCTTTCAGAATTGTTCCCAGGAGTTGCATTGTTTCTGGTGTTTTGCTGCTCTTACTGATAGTAATGAATATGTAACTAAATAATGGGGAAAATAATGTGTCTTTTTTGTGTCTTTCTCCTCTTCAGTCACTATGAGCAAGACCGGAGTGCACTTAAGCGGAAAGAATGGGAGAGAAGGAACCAGGAGGTCCAACAAGACGAAGATCTCTTTGCTTCAGGTTTTAACCTCTTTGGGGAACCCTACAAGGTAAATTGCATTGTTGTGTTTTACGTTTTCAGAATGCATTTTACCTGAATGCTTTTTACAAATACCAATAAAGCTTCTCTTCACCTGTAAGAAAAGAAGGTATCACATTTGCCTTGGTAGTTATACTTTTGAACGCACTGTTTATCCAGATAAGCACGTGGCAGCAGAGTAAACTGAACGCTCTGCCCAGCGTTTCATGCTAGCATTTGCAGGATCAGAGTTTTTGTTAGAGTGCAGGTCAAGATTTCTTCCTGTAAACACACAGCAAACTCCTGTGATAGAAGTGCGTGCAGCTGATATGTCTACAATTGAGTTCATACTTACAAAGCTAGCACTTGGCCCTTTTATTTTTAAGAAGAAAATATACCTGAGTTGTTAAAACCAATGTACTCTTATTGATAACGAGCTTGTAAGCTTTCTTGTGCAATCATAACCATCCAAAGAAGTCTTTTGGGAGACTGTCTGAATCTTTGGGGAGCGTAACAAGGGCATGAAAGGGACTTATGACAAGACTTATTCTCTCGAAGGAGCTTTGCTGCCTGAGATTTTCATCACCAAGGGATGTCCCCCTTTATGATTTCAGCTGCTTTGATTTTCTGTAAGCCATTCCCTGAAGAATTCATCAGAATGTAAATTTCCATATCTTTTTCTCCTCCCAATCAGTGACATCCATTGAAAGGCCACCACTTCATCTTTCCATTTTACATTGTTAGCAGCTGTAGGGAGGATGAGGACCCTTTGAAAATTGCCCCAAAAGGAGGAGGATAGACTAGAATTATTATCAAATGGTGCCTAATAATTATAGACTGGGAGAGTATGATAGATACACTTGACTCCTAGCTGTACTTTGGTTCAGGCTGACTAAGGAGCGACAAGCCTCATGTCCTTGGGGTGAACTTGGAGCTGGAAAGCCCCTGGCTCACATAAAAGGGAGCGGAGGTGTCTTGAAAAATATTTCGAAAGGTGGTTTCAAAACTCAGAAATGCAAGGTAACTGAAGTACCGAGCAAGATATCAGAGCTAAAGCAAAGACATCAATCTTGTCTGTGCTGTTGACTAGCAGCCAACTACTTCACCCTGTAAATATTACCATCAGCATGGGCCCAGTTTGAACTCTCCCCGAACTGCAGCTGGACTGCACATCAGGTAACTCTCCCCTTTGAGCAGGGATGTCTCAGGGTTTGAGATACTGTACTTGAGACTAAGAGATCCTTCCTTACCCAAGGCAGAGAGATACCTTACCTGCTAAAGCTCCTTGGTAAGTGATTGATAGCATGCTGAATTAATAATATGAAGCATTACTAATCTGTGTAGTTAGTGTAAATATTGTATGGATAATTCCATTAGACATGAACTGTTGACCAAGTCTGGGACTAAGTTTGGAACCTGCCACCCCTAGGCTCCAAAAGGAGTTTAGAAAGCAAAGGGGTCTGCTTTGAACCTCATGTAGGGTCCTCCATGCTCTTTGCATTTCTAGTCTCTGTGTGAATCATTTTAGGTCATTTTCCTTAGTATGTTTCTTCCATGTAGTAATCAATATGGTAAACCGTGCTTTCAAACCTTGCTTCAAACTTACTGAACTTTGGCAAACCTCTGTTAAATTGTGTTGAATTCCATCAAACTTATTGAACTCTATCAAATTATTATTTTACCTCAATAAAACATATTGTTGCTTCTCTCTTTTGAGTGAGGTGCTTTTCACTCACACATGACAGACTTACTCAGCCAAATAAAGGCTCTGCAATAGGACAGTTTGATTGCAGGTTCTTTTTGGTTTATTTTTTAAAAATCTAATCAGTGCACTATTTCTGCACTGGACCACATTTTAGCACCTTTGTGGGAATAATAACTTACTGTGAACTGATTTTGTTGAAACTTCCTGCAGGTCATGCAAACATTGTTGTTCATTTCAAGTGGTCAGTGCAAATCACTGCAAAATTTTGTGTCAGGAACTAAAAACACCATGCCGATGTTCCTAACCCCAAGATGAATGGTAATAGCTGATTTTGCATCTGTTAGTGTGTATGTGTTTTCACCAGGAATACACAGAGCACACACTTTGTCAAAAATAGAACAACTGAAAACAAAACAAAAAAAGACCATCCTGGTGATTTTCCTGAGCAGATTGTTTTTTTTTTAATTGCTTTTCACCTGCTTGGCAGAGAAGTTTGTCTAATCTGTGGGATTGAGCAAAACATAATGTATTACTATCCTAGAAAAGCATTGTAATTATAAATTGTGAAAGATAAAAATAAGGAGGAAGTTGCAGTTGAAGCCAGTTACATATGTCTTACATTTTCAAAACAAAGAGAACCAAAGACTGAATAGGAAAGCTGGGGCTTGCCTACATTTTATACTATGGGGGAGGAAGGACCAAGTGATAGATTGGTAATTCCTTAGTAGCATAAGAAGGTTAGGGTTGGAAAAGACCTTAAGATCATCTAGTTCCAATCCCCCTAGTGGGATGCCTCACATTAGACCATGTCACCCAAGCCTCTGTCCAACCTGGCCTTTGAACACTGCCAGGGGTGGAGCATTGCTAAGAACAAGCCACAGTGCAGATTCCTAGGAACTAGTGAAAACTGAGTCTAACTCCTAGTGCATAATGTAGTCATTTGTGTTCTTAGGCGAGCGCAAAATTAAATTCTTGGGATTCTCTCCATGTTAATTCTAAAATAAAATGAAGAGGCCATGAGGAGAGATGTGCTGCACGTTCAGTTTAAATTCATCTTCCATTTTGAGACAAACAGATGTTTCTCTGTGAATGAGGCACAAGGCCTGGAGCACACAGCAAGCTGACAAGGTATCCCATCTTGTCTCTTCTGAGTGCTCTCAGTGGAAACAGGAGGAGATGAAGCACTGCCTAGCAGTCAACTGCTGTGGTCTGTGGTGAGCACAAGGTTCACGTCCTCAGTGAGGCTAGCTCAAGGAATGGCTGGTATGCCTCTTAAAGATCTGGGGCTGTGAAGTAAGGTGTAGACTACAGCAACAAAGGAAAGGTTGGGAATATCAGGTGACAGAAAATATCTCATTTCCTTTCTTTTATTCCCAGACCTAGTGGCCTTCCTTGTTTATCATTCCTTCCTCAGTGTGTTTCCACAGAAACTCTGAAAGGACTATTAGGGTAGGGAATACCACAACTGCTGTTTTGATGTTTTGAAGATTGAACAGCTAGCAGCTGTGTAAGATCACTCTGAGGTTGGGGGGTATTAAAACCTGTCCATTTTCTCATGGAGTTTACTGCCATTGTGTATCATGAGATGTGTGGAGTATCCATCGCCATCCGTCATCTCTTTGCTCTAGCTGTTGCATCTTCCTTTCTATCCCTCTGTCAAATAAAACTTAGGTGATCATTATGGTTTTGGACAAGTGTATGTTTCTACGTCAGTTCTTTGTAGTATATGTATGTGTACACATACATGAAAAGAGATATTTATATCTGTGGGTGTATAAAATACATCTGTACATGCTTATTAAAAGATAAAAATGTTCTTTTCAAGCTCTGCTGTCTCATGTGGGGAAACAATGACAATGTTTTGACAACATGATGACATCCAGAGTTATTTCAGGGGGGTCGGGCAGCGAGGTCTGTGTTGCCCTTTAGTGCAAGTGGGTTGCAGGTCTTGCCCTTGAACTCTGGTGCAACCTGCTAATGCTTGATTTTGAAGAAGTGATCAGAGAAGAGCCTGCAGTGACAACAGACATTTGAAAAAGCAATGTCAAAGTTTTCCTGAGACAAGCTGCAATTTTAGCACTGAGTTGTTGATACTGTTTTATGTTTTGAATTAGTAAAGACTTTCAGAGATGAGTGTTTTAGAGAAAGCAGTAGGAGTATTTTTTGTTGCCTTTAAAAGGAATCGCCTCAGAAGAGGTCAAATTGAGAAAGAGAACACAATGGGAAGCATTTCCATTGGGGAGCCTTTGATGAATGTTAAATCTTTTATCTTTTTCAGGTAAAGCCCCTCAAAAAGCCCAAATAAATCTCAGGCTTCTAACCCATGGAGGTTAGTTTAACTATGAGGTGTGAGAAAGTGAATGAGTTGTGAAACCTCAAGTTTCATGCAAATTTTCACAAAACCCTTGTAGATGGGCCTACAAGTTTGAGTGCCTTAATTCTTTTCTTTGTTAACCTAGAATGTAATAATAGCTAGCTAGCAAACTGGTCTTCCAATAGGATTCTATTACAGATACTTGTAGAAAGCAATAGAACCAGAGATAGGAAGGTGTACATTTCCTAAATTAACAAGAGCCTAGAATGACGGGGAAGGCCCTAGCCATGAGTCACAAACCAGGCATATAATTTATGCCTTGGAATTCTCAGACGATGCTTCATTTCCTTAATGGTAGCAAAATTGTGATTTAACATGCTGTTCAGATGTGCAAGATGTGCAGAGTTATCCTTTCAGAAATAAGTCAATTATCCAGAATATGAAGGTAGAAATTGTCCCAAATCTGGAAGTAAAAAAGGGCAACCACAAATTATGACTGGATGTTGTGTTTATCTTGCTGGTATCCCAGCTTGTCAAGGATACTCTGCTTCTCACAAGAACCCTGAATGTTGAGTAAATAAAATAAAACCATTAATGTTATGCTTTATAGCTTAAATGCAGGTAGTACACTACACTACACACCCAATCTCGTTCAGGTGGCATTACAAAACTCTGGTCTTAGTTGTGCATGTTCTAGTTTTATTTAAGCGTAAGCCAAATTACTGTTCGCATTCACTATGTGTTTTTTGCTTTGCAGTCTAGTCTAAAGGCCATTGAAGAGAGCAGTAATCCTTCTATTGACTTCAATAACTATTGGATATGAGCTTTAGTGCACTTAATATGCTAAGGATGTGTAAATTAATTTAATCTGTGCTTTTCAGGAAATATATTTTTTATTAATGCTCCCAGTAAATGATTACAAATAATAATACTTTATATTTATACAGTGGCTTTTGTCTGCAGAATGTTCACATTCTGCAGAAAACAGAGTTAGTGTCAGGCAAAATTGTGTTTATCATTGTGACATGTAAAAGAAAATAGGTGGAATCAGATACCTCCAACACAGAAATGATTGAAAAGCTCTACATGCAAATTAAAATATTGATTCTTTCTGTGAGGATCTAGACAAGAGCCATTTAATATGCTGTGATGTTGAAGTGTTCTAGTGATGATATGTTGTCAGTACTTTCTTTTTTTCCTTTTAATAAAAAACCACAAACTTCTGCTTTCTGGAAAGTAAGCTAAACATACCCTGGAAGTGTAGCTGAAGCAGAGGTGAAGGCTGGTGGTCAGGCTTTTTTCGATACTCATCTGTTTCCCCTGTGCTACTCCATAAGGAGTTAAAGTGTTTGGGGAAGGAGGAACAGAACAAGTATGTAAGTGTTTAGACTTCGCATCATAATTCCTGCTGGGCCCTTAAGCACAATGGAATCTCCTTGTTTTAAATTTGAGGGTTGAACAGAGAGAGCCTGGTTTTGGCTGCTGCCCAAACAGCTCATTGTGCAACTCAGTTGAAGGAGAGTGCTCATATACAAAGAGCTTATTCTTAGCTTAGCTAGAATATAATTTTTGCCACTAAAATGACCAACCTAGGGACTTACTTAGTGAATAAAAGTGATCCATGGTTCTCAACAACTGGGATTATTAACTGTGTCAGTTAGGAGCACTGGCAAAATGTATACAGATGAGAACAACACTGAACAGTTAATTTTTAAATCACTGCCTCAGTGCAATGGCAATATATGTTACAATCCCTGAGAATGAGCAAAAGGAAATTTGCATTTATTATCTTCTTTTTAAAACATTTTTTATGGCCTGTGCAGTACTAAGGAAAAAAAATGTTTCTGCAATATTCTTCTCATCTCCTGACTAGTTCAGCAGTTGGTAATATAAGCAGGTATTTCAGGAGAAATCCATGCATGGATTTTTTTCATTGCTCAAACTTCTGCTTCATACTTAAGGAAAATGGGATCAGTGGCACATAGGGTCCCTCATCGAGGAATGAAGTGTGACACTCCAACAAAGCACAGGCTCATAGTGCTGCCTTTCCCCATCTCTATGGCCTGGTGTTAGGGCATCTTTGGACTGTAGCACTGTTTGCTGTATAGAGTGAAAAAAAACCCAAACATAAGTGAAAGCATAGTTGGTTGTATCCTGTGGTATCTTACACACACTACAACTTTGTCATTTAATTACAGACTGTAGAAGTTAACCACCTGCTTGAACAGGAACTATAGGTTTGCTTTGGTTTTATCCTTTGAGTCTTATAAAGTAATAAGCGTGGGGAATAAGTTGTTTTGTTTCTCTGCTGGTCATTTCAGTGGAACATAAAGGTCAGTAAGAAGGCTGGTGCTTTGTGTCTCTGTGGGGTGAGTTAGAACAGGAAGAGAGAGGAAATTAGCTGCATGTTAATTATAGCTTCAAGCTTATTTGTCCAGCTTTTCACAAGTGAAAGAGAAAAAAAAAGAAAAGAAAAAATAAAAAAACCCCACTTGATGCTTCAAAGGTCTAATAGCAGTGAAACTCAGATGAGTCACTGTTTACTTATTACTGGAATTCAGAGAAAAGTGGGACTCACAAATACAACCAGCCTCCAGACAACAGAAGAATCCCAGTACTTAAGAATATAGCAATCGTGTCTATTTATGTTCTGTAAGAAAATATTTTTGAATGGTCTTTTACATGAAGTTACTGTAGTATTTGAGTGGGTAGAAGCATTTTCTTTTCTAGGTTGAGATGCTAGATACGTCAGGTCAACCTGAACTCTTTCATGAAAAGTAATTGGAGTTACACTGAAGTGATCATGTGTTTATTGCGGACTACCCAGGTTCTAATTCTGGACTGTGGGTTAAGAGGCTGATAGAGCAATAACATACTTAAATAAACTGTGTGATTGCAATTCAAATGCTCAGTAGCCAGTAATTGCACGTGCATGTTTTGCATGATATGAAATGTACAAGCCCAACATCTCTGACATAAAACCAGCTTATTTTGCTCCTAACATCCATAACTGATGCAATTTAGACACTTCTCTGAGAGCTTATTTAAGAAAATGGGAAGCAGCATACAAGTGTTACTCATGCAAGCCTGTTTCAAGAGATTATTTCAACACAGTTATTGATAGGTTTTTCTTACATAACATATGCAAAATGTAATTGAAATTAAATTAAATGTCAGCATGACACCATTAAAGAGCTAACATTTGCTGTCTTCTAAGGCAACTATTCTGAGCAGCAACTTGTAATCAGGAATGTACTCACTCTTTTGCTTCATTTATTTTCTTGATATTTTAGACAAATAAAGGTGATGCCCTTGCAAACCGTGTCCAGAACACACTGGGAAATTATGATGAGATGAAGGACCTGTTAACCAACCATTCCAACCAGAGCCACCTTGTAGGAATCCCAAAGAATTCTGTCCCACAGACACCCATTGACAAAAATGAACAGAACTTTTTCCCAGAACCGAGGAACAGGATGATCCCATCTCATCAGATCAGTGGCCACTCATCGACATCAATGCCTCCACCTTCTTCGTTGTCATCTAATTCTACTTTGCTACACAGTCACCAGAGCAGCAGAAAGTCGAGGACAGACTGGTCACGTGGTGGTCACAACTCCAGTGGGGCCCAGCCAAGCCAATCCAGTAGTCAGCAGAGTCGGACAAAGCATAGCTCCTCTCATGACCAGGCACAGAGCAGGTATGAAGACCTCTATAATTGTCAGAGTGAGCAGCATAAAAGTGGAGGAACTGAGGAAGCAAATTCTATGGCAGCATCTTCACATTCAAGGAGGCACACTCATTCCAAGTCAGCACCTGGAGAACATACTTATAAAGAAAGCAGTCATTCGAAGTCGCCTGCAGAGCTTGAATTTGTAGGTCATGGTCCTGGCTCTCCACTTCCTTCCACTTCGTTGTTATCTGCAAACAACAGCCTTTCGTCTCAGAATTTCCCACCAGGACTTCACTGCAAGAACAGCATGGTCCAGCAAAAGCCTACAGCCTATGTCAGGCCTATGGATGGTCAGGACCAGGTACCCAATGACTCACCTGAACTGAAACCGCCAATAGAAATTGAGAGTGGGTATGGAAATCAGTCCTTTGGAACACTGCTGGAAGGAAAAGTGAATGCACCTAGTTCAAAGAACAAAGTACCAAAGCTCACCATTCCTCCTGTTAATGAAGTAAGTGTTTTAAAATATCTTCTCTCTAGTACTGCTTGAATATTTCATGCACTGAATATGTTTCACTAGAAATATGCAAGTCCATTTCCTGTAATTACAGTCTAAACTATTCCTTTTTTTCTAGATTGTGCATGACTACTGTTGGCAAAGTTTGTTTGTGATAGTCCAAGTAGCAATATTTAATGAAGTTTTAAAAGCCGTTTGGAATACTAACATTGCTCTTTTCTGACTAATATTAAAAGGCGAGATCTGTTTTGGTGTAATATATTTATACCAGCTTGAATTTTGGACAGAGGACTCTTAATATCTCAGTTCATCTGCAGTTTTCAATCTTGCATTTTCAGCTAGAAGCTAGTTTGATAGAAAGATTGCTGTGCTGAACTCTAAGGAAAAGTGGCAGTGTTCAAATTTAGTGGTACTAAATAGTTCTACCAGCAAGGAGTTTATTTACAGAGTTCGCTAAATTCTCATTGCTTTTAATGGAATTAATGTGGCTCTAGTTCTGAGTAATGCTTATGAAAATGTGTCCCATTAAAGCTTTTATGCATTCTGAAGAGCTCTTAATTTTGGGATTCTGTCCCAGCCTCTTCTACCAACAGTTTAAACTGTTGAATTTTGTATTGCTGGTCAATACAGTAGTCCTGTGAGGAACATTTTAGTTGGTTCATGTTCATGTCCATTCCAAGCATGGATGTCTCGTATGGATACCAACTGACCTATTTACACTCTGTATACTTTTTCTCTTATTCTGAGTTTTTCTAAAGCAGTAACTTTTGCAAGGTAGTTTTATAACATACATATGAGCAGAACTGCAGTATGGGTTTTTCATAGCTTTTTGTTTCCCCCCAAATATTTCCCTCCTTGGTAATATTTTTATACCAGGAATGAGGAGCAATGCATTCTTAAGCCACTTTATTGCAAAAGGTCAGCTTTTTCTATTGAAATAATTGTTTCAAGCCAATAATTTGTTTGACTATTTAAAAACTTGATGTTATTTATTAACATTCCAGGCAGCAACAAAGACTGATGTGTTTTGCAGTAGAGCTTGGAATAATTTTCTGGGAACTGCATCTGAAAACAGTAAAAGGCCTATTTATATCAAGTGGAAGCTGAGGGTTGCTTGCAGATGGTGTTTTATTAGAAACTGTATTTGTTAATAAACGTAGCTTTGTACAAGATTAGTTTACAGATGTTTCTGTTTATTTTTACCTTAGGTTAAAAATCTGCTGTTGTAGATGGCTTCATAGTCTGTTGCGATTTGTCGCTAGCATTGTTTGGCAAGTAAATAATTGCATGCAAAGGAAATAATGATGTTGTAAAAGCAAATACTTTTTTTTTTTGCTCTTTTTATCTATTAGCACTGTGAGTCAAAGAGGGACTTTAAAGTGCAGTATCAATAAGGGGTATTTTTGGAAATGGACCATACCTTTTGCAACTTGTATCAACTATTAAGAATGTGTGGGTTTTTTTCCTTTAATATTTAGAGTGAATGAAATCCTGGCACTGTTGAAATCAATTCACTTGTTAGCAATGGTTTTTTGGGTACAGGACTTCGCCCACAGCTTTTTGCATAACTGTAAGAAACTCTGATGTGAACTGTTGTTTTTGGAAAGATTCCTAGTTGCACAGATGAAAAATTGCATTAGGAACTTGTTGCTATAGCTGCTTTAGTTTATAGCGTGTACAGTGAAAAGGATAGGTATATAATTAATTCATTTTTGTTCAGATAAATGGTAAACTCTAGGCACTTTAGAAATGAATGCAGATAATAGTCTTAAACCAGTCTGCATTTTATGACCGGACAATAATTTGCAGGGGAGAAGAAAACCCAAAGCTGTGTTAAGATGATGAATAACTTTTCTTCACAGTACAGACCATCTGACAATAGCCAGACTGATGGATCTCTTACAGGCAAATCTCCTTCTGAGTTTGGAGGGTTGGATTATTATTTTTTTTTTCACCTATGTCAGGACTGTGAACTTTGGCCCTATGTGTTTTTCCACAGATGCGTATCCTGAATTTGATCTACCCTATGTTCAGCGATAAAACTCCTTCCAATCCAACATTATAGATAACTGGTTTAGTTTAAGCTTAATCAGAACTGACAGTGCACACCTGTGAAACCCATAACATTTTCAGAATGACTGCAGCGAGTGGCTCTGTTGTAATCTTTATACAATTGATGTGGAGGCTTATGATCCTTCGGTGGTGCTTATCAATTTATGAACCTTCCCTAGCCACCTTGAGCCGTAGTGATCTGCTTGAAACTAGTTTGCTCCTGCTCCCTGGGTTTCCATCCTAACACTGTTCCGGGTAGTGATCTTCAAACTAGCAGTAGGAAAGTTACTTTTGGAGGGCACTCCTCCATAATTTCTTCTGCAAGTCTCCTTTGTCCTTGTGTTGCTGAGTGTATGTATAGAGACATGTATAAAGTGTATGTATAGAGATTTGCACACTGAATGTTTTTCTCTCAGAATTTTATATGCTCTTAAGATGAAGAATTCTGTGAAGAAATAAAATTCGTAAGTAATGATCCTGCAATAATGGCACCTATTAGGATGGGCAAAGTTGAGAAAGACAGGTTTTGCTGTCTTAAGGAGAAGGAGGGGAATAAGTAGCCGAATACTTGAGCAAGCAGATTTAAAAGATGATTTCAGGCTGATGCGGAAATATGGTCCCATTTATCATGGCTTAATGGAAGAGGATGTTGAGTGCCCTGGAAGCATTTTGCCACGTGTAAGGAAGTGATCAATTTTATAACATAATTTGTGTCACTTGAGGTGTTGCTCTAAGAATCTTTGCTCATTCCCTGGGCCCAATTCTGCCCTCAGAGGTGCCCATCCATCTTTTGGCTCCTCTGGAACAGACATTGTTAATGCCTTGCTGCTGGCATGTTTCTACTGTGCAATGGATTGTGGTTTAGAGATTTCTGAGTTTGTAGAGATACATGGCAAGTTCACACAGACTTACCAGGCTAGTTCAGGACATGTTAGCAGCACTTAACGCACCCATGGATTCATTCTTGCCGTTTTGTGATTTCCAGATCTTGACTCACCCCCACGGAGCTAGTTCAGACCTGACTGCACCATGTGCGGCCATTTCTGGTAGAGAAATGGGGACAGCAGAGTCTCTGTAAACTTTCAGTTGTGACCTATAAGAATTTCTTTATGATTTTGTGATCCTTATGATTTCTTTTACCTTTCTCCTTTGTTTTACTTATCAGTAGTCTTTTCTAAGGGTAAAGGCAAACAACTTAATGGTTTGGTGCCTTGTGCAAAACCCCATGTAACCACTAGCACCCAGGCTTGGCTGCCTCAGTCTCAGAAATTGTGAACTAGACCTTTCAGAACTGGGAAGCCATAAGGCCATTGTGTGACTTCAGGGGGATATGCAGAAATCCGCCAGATACCATGACACAGAATTAATAAGAACAGCCCTGGAGCTAGAACTGATAGAAAAATTGATAGAAAGCCTCCAGCTCTAAACATCATTTTCTGTTCCTTTCTTATTAACTCTCATCTCTTTAGCCTGTATTTACATATGCACTTTTATATATATATATATAAATTTTGAGCTTACATTTAACATTTGGAAAATTGTGGCAAGCCTGGGACATTGCAAAGAGCTTTTGTGTTGTGTAGAATGTCACCTACTTGAATTGTATGATGGCATGATGGCAGGTGATTGTTACTTACCATTCAAAGAGAACTGCTTAGTTAAATCCTGTGCATTTCTTCAGAAAAGTGGAGGTTAAAGACCACAATAACAGCTGATCCTCTCTCTGCTGCATTAAAATCCAGAATCTTGATTCATGTATGTATATTTAAATCTCTAGGAATCAGATTCTTACAAATTATTTCAAATCAACTAACAAAATAGGGGATAGCTGAAAGAAAGCCTGTACTTTTCAGATTGGGCTTGAGCACAAATCACTGAGAGTACTGAATAAAGCAGAGCATCTTAAGGTCTGCAGGATCATCAGAAGATGTGTTCCTGGAAAGTCTTATGCATGGTTATCCAGAACAGTGCACGGATTTCTGTTACATGTTTAGGGATGGGAAATAAAGGGCAATTAAGGTAATTCTTAATTCTCAAGGCAGAGTTTTTAAATCTCACTGCACAATTGGCCTCACATTCCTACAAAGTAGCAAATGCTTGTGCACCAAATTTTCCCCAAAATACAAAGCTAGAAACAAATCCAAAAGGCCTACATCTATGTCACCACCCACTTAAGTAATAAAAAACGAAGAACTTCTATTTTCACTTTACTTCTAGGAAAATATTTTGATGGGTTCAGTATTCTGTGAAGTGATAAGCTTCTGTTACGTGTTTCAAATCATTCTATTATCGCCGCATGTATTGATTAGCTTAGTACTTTCTTAACTAGCTATAAAACAGGCTGCTCTCTTTCTGCATTAAAGAGCAAGAAAAATTGACAGGTAGATAACCGTATTGACTGAGCCTAAATAGTAAATGCAAGAGGCTTATATATGACTTATAAAACCCTATAGGAACCAAAGCTAATTTAGTATTTTTTTTTTCTTTTTCCAATTAAACAGAAAGAAGATGTCTTTAATTAACCACCCCCCCCCACCTTTTTTGATATATATGCTACTTTAGTTGCCAGCTATAGTACATTACCATAGTTGTGGGTAAATCACTTTTTTCAGATGCAAAGCTTTAGCTGTCTCCCAGACTGAGCTCCGAGGAAGAATGGACTGAATCCCGTATTAAACTGAAATCCCTTTGCTTGGTTCATATTTCAAAAGTCTGAGGCCAAAAAGCAAACCCAAAGAGCAGTATTTCTTACAGTATTACAGGTTACAGCCACATGTTTTTCATTTGTAAATACTGTGAGAAGTAATGTTCTTGTGATACTTCTAAATGAAGACCATATGACACCACTCGACTGAAGACCTCTTATTGTGGTCTTTTGAAGGCTACTGTCCAGTTGCTTGGACAGTTGCTACCAAAGCTATTTTGCAGAGATGGCAAAAGGA